ATATATAGAACTTAACTATTGTATTTGATCCTGATCCTGTAGACTAGCCTGGACCGGAACGACCCTCCTAATAATATCCATAATAACTTGTGTTTGATAATAGATAAACATTACCGTATTTAAATTCGAGTAGTATGATTGACATCGGTACTCATAAAAATGCTTTCGGACCTTTTCAAATATAGTAATACGGAGAAGACCAAATTATCTCAAGCACCAACAGAACTGAAAGCACCCCATTTGACGGTGAAAGGCGAGTTGAAAATTAGCAGTAGGAATTCTAAAGATTCTTTGGAAGAAGAGTAGAGACGTTTTCTATGTTGTTCGTGATATGTGGAAGTATTACGTTTTATTCTAAAATTCAAAACTTAGAGAGTTGAAAGCCCACCCTCTACATGATCCTACGATCTTCAAGTCATTTACACGTTGAGAACCAATCTGAGCCGTTCATTCATCGGACTACTATATTCGATACTCCTTCCGTTCCAATATATGTGAACCTGTTTGACTGGGGACGGAGTTTAAGAAAAAATGAAGACTTTTAGAATTTGTGGTCCTAAACAAGTCAAAAAGGGCCCCAGAGTATTTGTGTTGTTATAAAAACTTCTCATTAAGGGTAGAATTGTAAGTTTAAGCTAAATTGTTACCAAATTTAGAAATGGATCATTCTTTTTGGAACGGACCAAAGAGCAAATAAGTTCACATAAACTGGAACAGAGGGAGTACTTGTTATTGATTGATGTCTCTTCATTGTTCCCTCGTCCCACTTCAGTTATCTAATCTTGCCCGTCATTTGACAGTTACATCCATCGTTTACTTTTCCGTTTTATTTTGTTCGACAATAGTTCCTTATTAATTTGTTACAAATTGACATATTCATATATTTTCGTGATGAAAAACTTTTTAGTCATACAAATATTATGATATATTCTAAATTATGAGTTTCAAATATTTTTATTTTTTATTAAACTTTATGTCAATTCAAATTACGATAAACATATTATTGTGTCGCCCTAATTATATCTCATTCTATATAAATGCCAGACTTTATCACCCCCTTCTCATTCATCATTCACAACTTGCAGCTAACAATTCTTCATCGGAATAAGTCACCGTCGCCGGCACCGGAGAACAAAAAGGTCTTAAAAAATTGGAAAATGGAAGCAGAAAATGATCTAAATCTGAAGGCAACTGAGCTAAGACTAGGTTTACCTGGTACAGAACTAGAGCCTTGTACTAGTCTTGCTGCTAAAATTGGCAAAAAAAGATGTTTATCAGAGATGGATAACTCTTTAGACATAAACCATGATCAGCAAGATTCCTCCCCTGCACCAAAGTAAGTTCTATTATTTAATTTTCACTACACTTTATGTCATATGACTTCTAAAAGTATTTTAGCCGTTCATTCAAAGATTTAACCGACTCCAACGTGTTTGAAATTGAAGTATATAGTTTGTTTATATTCTAATTCTTTTTATTTGGTTATTTCAGAGCACATATTGTTGGTTGGCCACCAGTAAGATCTTACAGGAAAAATATTGTTAAAGCCGAGAAATTAGACACTGATGTTTCCTTAGGGATGTATGTGAAAGTTAGCATGGATGGAGCACCTTATCTTAGGAAAATTGACCTTAGGGTTTACAAAAGTTACCAAGAATTACTCAAGGCTTTGGAGAACATGTTCAAGCACTCCTCCGGTGAGTTTAACTTTCACAAACTAAACATTTTTTTAATTGTCAGTCGGGATCTAAAATTTTAGTAGTTCAGCTGGTTGGCTACCTGAATTTTCACTTAGTTGATGAGGGTTTGATTCCTTATCTTGTCTAGTCATAGTATATAGCACTATAAAAGCTTATATTTTCTTGTTAATAAGACAACTACTACATGTAACAACCTACTACCACACGTTAAATTATACTAATAGTATAGTATATACTAGGTAGTACTATTACTTTTACTTTGTTGATCTTTCACTTTGTTGATAAGAGTTTAATTCTCCACCATGTTATTCCCTCCCCACTTTCCCTACCCCCCAAAAAAAAGGAGAGGCAAATTTGGAATTATAACAAAGATATTGTAAAATAATTTTTACACTATTAGGACACCTAAAAACACTACATGTAACTCCATAAATAATGAAATTACTTACCTGAAAAACATAACATAGAACCTGCTACAACACGTTAAAATTATACTAATATATAACATAAAAACTTATGTTTTCTTGTTGAATTATAAATTTCAGGTATATACTTGGAAAATAAAGGATACACTAGTGGATCCGATTATGTACCAACTTATAAAGACAAAGATGGTGATTGGATGCTTGTTGGAGATGTACCATGGGCTATGTTCATTAATTCTTGCAGAAGACTTAGAATCATGAAAGGGTATGAAGCTAAAGGTTTGGCATGCCTATTATAGCAACCCCACATGGTTTTTTATCACGTCGAAGCAGATTTAGGACGAGTTCTGCGAATTCAACTGAAATCGTCGCTTTTGACTCGAATTATGTATAAATATATACATATGATAATTTCTAGATTTTTTTTGTCTTTGAATTTTCTGTATATTTTAAGAGTATATATATACACGGGAATACACAATTTTACCTCAGAACACATCGTTCATTGCTACTGAGGAAATGGACATATGAGTAATTTGTAATGTCCAGATCAATCATTCCAATTCACATTAATGATTGGCCGGGTCAGTGAATGTCACGGCCCGGAATTCCCACATTCGAGATCGTGATGACGCCTAACATTTCACTCGCTAGGCAATCCAACGTTAGTGGTATTTATCCATTTTTTAACAATTCAAATTAAATAATAATAAAGAAACCGAAAAATCTGAAATAACATTTGAAGTAAAGAGCGAAAATATAACAACTGAAATCTCTAATACATCACGAATCAGGTGTCACAAGTGCATGAGCTACTAGAATACTACAGATAAAGGTCTGAATAAAAGTAAAGCTGTCTGAAAGAAAAATACACAGCTAAGATAAAGTGGGAGGGGACTTTAGGGTTGCGAACGCCGAGCAGTTGTACCTCAAGTCTCCACACTGGTAGTCAACCCGAGCACGCTACTGACAGCCGCTGGAACCGACTCCAAAATCTGCACAAGAAGTGCAGAGTGTAGTATGAGTACAACCGACCCCATGTACTCTGTAAGTGCCGAACCTAACCTCGACGAAGTAGTGACGAGGTAAGGCGGGTCACTTACACTATAACCTGTACGCAGTATAAAATAAATACTTGAAAGGAAAATACGGAATGAAATAAGGCAGTTAACTTAAGAAAAATAACTCAATCCTCACAAAGCCAGTGAATGCCAGAAATACAATTCCTTGGAGTCTCGTATGAAAGTATGGAAGCCAACACAACAAAATAAGCCATAAAAATACATAAACTATTGCGGAGCGCAACCCGATCCCACCGTACAACACTATCCTCCCTTATTCCACCATATAGATGTCAATAATAATAAGTAAATATATGTCGTGGCGCGCAACCCGATCCCACCATATAATCAGAATAGATATCGTAATTCACCCTTATTTCACCTTATCAATCCACCCTTATTTCACCTGTTGCGGCGTGCAACCCAATCCCACCATATCGATATAAATTCACTCTTATTTCACCATATCAATCCACCCTTATTCACTTGTTGCGGCGTGCAACCCGATCCCACCGTACAACATAAATCGCCTCTAAGGTCTTTAGGGTTGAGAATTTGAAAGAATGAGCTAAAATCCTGTCTATCTTAATTTTTGACCAGGTGCAGATGTCGCAACTGCGACCTGGGTTCGCAATTGCGAACCCAATGCGAGACATACTTCGCAAATGAGAAGTAGCTCCATCTCTACTATCATCGCATTTGTGATGGTTTGTTCGCAAATGTGAACTATGGTCCTCTGCAAATGCGACCTTTTTGACCGCAAATGCGATCTCAGCTGACCCACCCCTTCTTCACAAATGCTAAGATTTTCATCGCAATTGCGATCATGGCAGGAATTTGGTTCTTCGCAAATGCGAACACTGACCTCGCAATTGCGAGGTCAGAGACCTGCACCAGAACAGACTTTTCACCAGCTATTTTCTAAGTCCAAAATCACTTTGAAGCCTATCCGAAACTCACCCGAGCCCTCGGGGCTCCAAACCAAATATGCACACAAGTCCAAAAATATCATACGAACTTGCTCGCACGATTAAAATACCAAAATAACACCTAGAGCTATGAATCGGATACCAAAACAGATGAAATTTTCAATAAAGCTTTAGAACTTTTACTTTAACAACCGGACGTCCAAATAACATCAATTCAACTCCGTTTTGCACCAAATTTTGCAGACAAGTCATAAATATAGTAATGAACCTATACCAGATTCCGGAACCAAAATCCGGACCCGATAGCAAGAAAGTCAAACTTCGGCCAGATTTATAAATTCTTTAAACCTTTAAACTTTATATTTTCAACAAATTGCGATAACTCGAGCTAGGGACCTCCGAATTCGATTCCGGGCAAACGCCGTCCCAAATCACGATACGGATCTACCGGGTCCGTCAAAACACGGATCCGGGTCTATTTGCTCAAAACGTTGACCAAAGTCAACTCAAATAAATTTTAAGGCACGAATTCACATTTTAATCAATCTTTCACATAAAAGCCTCCCAAAAGGAGACACGGACTGTGCACGTAAATCGAGAAATGCTAAGAGGAGCTATTTAAGGTTTCAAAACACAAAATTAAGGGTTAAAGCTATAGATGACCTATCGGATCATCATATTCTCCACCTCTAAAACAAACATTCATCCTTGAACGGACATAGAAATGTACATGGACTGTGAAAATGTATGGATACCTACTTCGCATGTACGACTCGGACTCCCAAGTGGCTGCCTCGACCGGCTGACCTTTCTACTACACTCGAACTGAAAGATAACTCTTGTACCTCAGCTGCCAGACCTACCGGGCTAGAATAGCCACCAGCTTCTCCTCAGAAGTCAAATCCTTGTCCAATTGGACTGAGCTAAAATCTAACACATGGGACGGATCACCGTGATACTTCCGGAGTATAGACACATGGAACACCGGATGGACTGCTGATAAACTAGGTGGAAATGTGAGCTTGAAGGCCACCTCACCCACTCTCTAAAGAATCACAAATGGTCCGATATATCTAGGGCTCAACTTACCATTCTTTCCGAACCTCATCACACCCTTCATGGGTGAAACCATGAGCAATACTCGCTCTCTAACCATGAATGCAACATCACGAACTCTACGGTCGGCATAATTCTTCTGCCTAGACTGAGCTGTGCGAAGTCGATCCTGAATAATATCGATCTTGTCCAAGGCATCCTGTACCAAATATGTACCCAATAATTGAGTCTCTCTCGGCTCGAACCATCCAACTGGCGATCAGCACCACCTCCCGTATAATGCCTCATAGGGAGCCATCTGAATGATCGACTGGTAGTTGTTATTGTAGGCAAACTTCGCAAGTGGCAAGAACTGATCCCAAGAACCCCCGAAATCTATAACACAAGCGTGAAGCATATCCTCCAATATATCTGAATAGTGCTGATGGATATAAATTATTCATGTAATTTCATATGTAAAAAGATAAGTTTTTAAAATATAATCTGAATAATAATATCCTATCCTTGCATATATTCTAACAAATCCTGTAGGAAAAAGAAATTATGAAAAAGAAGGAAAGAAGCTAAAAGACAAGAGAATGAAGCAAACCCACAGTTGCACACATCATGTTCATATTCGCAAATGTGGAGTATACATATGGGCTATTGGAAAGAGACAATTAGAGATGAAAAGGAGTATAGTTGCATATGTGGAATCTATATACGCAAAGGTCACATTCACATACACGGAACCTACATTTGCAAGTCTAAGTCATGAAGTCAAGAATGGAAGCAAAAGAGTCATAGATGCATGCATGGAATCTATATTTGCAAAGGTCACATTCGCACACATGGAGCCTACATTTGCAAGACTAACTCATGAAGTCAAAAGTGAAGCACAAGTGCCATATTTGCATATATTGAATCTACCTACACAAAAGGTCACTTCGCATACATGGAAGCTATATTTGCAAGACTAACATGAAGTCAAGAGTGAAGCACGAGTGCCATATTTGCATATATAGAATCTACGTACACAAAGGTCACTTCGCAGACATGGATTTCACATTCACAAAAGTGGAACATGACAAAAGCTACTCATCTTTTCCTATAAATAGCAAGCTCTCTTTGTATAAGAGATATACAATCTTTGTAAGACAAGAACTAGTCTTGGTCTTTCTTTCTTTTCTTTCCTTATAGTAAAAATATTTTTAGTCTTCTAAATATTCTTTTTAGATTTTCTTACTCCATAATGGAGTAATTTCTTTTTGTTGGGATAGTTGATGAAGCTTGATATATTTTATAATATTATCTTATTTTTTATATATTCTTGGCTTGAAACTTTTTATTTACATTTCATATTGTGCTGAAATGATAGTTTTTAATTACTCTATCATCACTTCTACATATTTTATCTCTAAGTTATTCATATATTAATTTTGTAATTCTCACGGAGCAAAATTAATTAATAGCTGATGAATAAAATAGTAGTGTGAAAGTAATTATTCAGTAAACTATTATTTCAAGTCAGTAATCTTGCTTGCCTCAGTTTTAATTCTCACGGAGGAATTGTTGTAGGCAAGATTATTGATCCTTGGTAAAAATATTCTCACGAAGTTTTTACTTTCTTTTAGCACAATTCAAGCAAGAAAAATATTTCGGTTTAAATGTCACTAGTCTTAAATTGATTAATTAACATAATTCTCATGGAGTGTTATTAATTGGTAATTTCTTAGTAAGCCAAATATAATTGTATTAGAAATAAGCAATTATTCTTTAGAGAAATAAATGTAGACATTGAGATTTTTTATTATAGTAATATTATCAAGTGAATTCAATGATTCCCAACTCTTTTTTTAAATTATAAATCTTCCAAAATATTTGTTTTGCTTAAGTAATTAAGAAGTTTTAAACCTCACTCACTTTTCATCAATTTGATTCTCTCAAATAGTAGTTAAAATATTACAAATCTGTAGAATAGATTATCCAGTCTCCGTGGGACGATATCTTAAACTATATTAGAATTTGACAGAGTACGAGCAGGAAATTCGAATACACATTGGCCTCGTCAAATTTTTGGGGCCGTTGCCGGGGATTGGCATGCATCTACTTCAGATTAATATTTTCTTACTAATTTGAGAATTATTTATTATTATTATTATTATTATTATTGTTGTTATTATTATTTTTGTCAGTATTTTCACTATCTACTATTAAGTACTTCCTACTACTTCTATCATTGGTTTTCCTTTAAAATATTTAGTATAATATTACTAGTACTTTTATCTACAAATACTATTCTAACTTTATCTCTAAATTACTGTTATTTACTAGTACTAGCTTTACTTATACTTAATATATATTATCGTACTTTTTTTAAAAACTATTTTTGTTATCATTAAAATTTTCTTTAGTCATTATATTAACTACTAGTACTGCTTTAGAAACTATTGTTATTTTTTT